TAAAACAAACAAACAAACAAACTTGGAACCGAAAGGAAATATTTTTACGGGTGGGTTGCGGCTCTTTATTTCTGATTCATACGTATATATATGTACATACAATGATATTAGATATCCTTGTATTGCTTACTCTATAATTCAAATCAGCATAGGTCTTTTAACAAAAAAAATTGCAACTGTTAATTTATATTTGATCTGAGCACTCTGATACACAGTAGAAAAAATGTGTTTATAAAAGATTATATTTGTGCAATTATATGTACTATATTCCTCTTCTAACAAACTGCTAATAATATTGATACGTTACTGTTAGTATAATATATAATTGCCATAATATAACATTAAAAAAACTTTTTCCAATATATCAGTAAGCAAAGATAACCACGCCCTTTTCTTGCAACCCTTTTTTCCACCATCACATTGGTGCCCTGTTTTATTTTAATGTAGCATTTGGCTTTGTTAAACAAACTCCTTCCATCTCAGACTGCCACTATTAGTCTGCCCAACATTAATAAAATGACTTAATGTGTAGCTTTGCTGTTCAGTAATTTCACACAGTACCTGTAGAATGAAATTCACCTCTGAGCTGACATCTGCCACTAAGACTACAAACCACTTATACTCCATTTATGCTTCAATTAGTGCATAAAGACTTATGCCGAACCTCTGCTTAGCGGTGAACTTCACTTTCAGCAAACACTTGTAGTGTAACATAAGTCAGCTGGCTCATTCTAGGTGGCTTAAACTATAGGTCTACAGAAGATGTGACTCCATGCTATTAATTGCTTTTAATAGTTCAGATCTAGGTCACGCTTAATTAGTATCTGGAAGTTAACACAAATATTAATTCCTACATAAAGCATTATCTCCAGTGTACTAAGTGGCAGCGCTGTTACAAGGCAGATACAAGCCGAGGTTCAGGTATCTGAGGAACTGTGCAAACTACCAGATCCTAATTTAGGGCAGGATAAGGTCAGGTTATGGAGCAGCAGTGATGGTGAGCAGGATTAGGCCTTTCCCCTGTGAAAACTACCAAGAACTGACAGAACAGTGTGATAAAATAGGCTAACTAGGGTGACAAAGACACAATCCACTGGCTTTCAGCATAAAACAAGGACTGCAGAGCTGCAGATATTTCAGTTTTGGTGCTGGCAGGTAAGAAAGCATTTGGCAACCTCTCACCTTTCTGACAATTTCGTCAGTCTTCGTTAGAGCAGCTGAACTACTGGGCACACAATGATGGATGCTTGCTCCCTTGCCTGCCATCTCCCTTCTTGCAAACACAGGATAGAAATCAACAGATGGAAATGCGCAAACCACAGAACGAAAATATCAATCCTTTAAAAGAAGGGCAAAATTAATTTTCACTCTCAGTTTAGCTCCTACTGAAAATAAAGGTTCAACTGTCCTGCCTTTTTCTTAAAATTTATTCCCTGGGGAACTTTTACTTTCTTCTCTTCAATTAATAATATTGGAAGTGGGACTAAAGTTAGTGCACATCTAAAAATAAGAATGAGCAAATTATCTTGAACTGTTACTTCAAAGAATTTCTTATTTACAGACAAAGCAGAGAATCCACAGAGGTAATTCCAGGGTATCTCAGGGTAGCGGTATTCTAGGGGTAGACAATCTCTTGAATCTAAGAATAGTATTTCAGACAGTGCATAATACTATTCGTTCCATTAGGACATCCCAAAAGCAAGGTGGGTCAGCAGGTTTGGGATTGCGTGCATGCATTTGTCTTAGGGGAAGAGAAAGGTTTATCCAGTTTTTGACTCTTCTCTTTTTAAAGGAGAAAAGCAGAATTAACAAGAGTATTATTTTGCGCTCCCCTGCAAAAGAATGGTCTGAGACACTGCAGCTATTTTCCATTTGAGAATCAGGACTTATTACAGTGTCTTCTGCACCAGCATGCAGGACAGCAGCAAAGAAGAAAGTCTGGGGTTTTTTTTCCTCTTGTTTATACTCGTGTGTATCATGATACAGCAAAAAATTGCATTTTAACACTTATTTTCCGATATTAAACATACTCTGAATAACAGTTTGACATCTGTCCCTAACGAATGATCATGACTCCCAAATGTAGATTTATATATTTAACCTTCAGTTATTAGTAGAAAATACTAAGTATCAGTTTCATAATCATAGCATTATTAGCCTTTATTATTTGAGTTAGGATGCCATTTGAAGGCTCATAACTTGAAAAAAAAAAGTTCTGGAAAAACAGATTTAGAAAACCCAACAATAAGAAAACGATGTTCAAGGCTTTCAAAATATAGGACAAACATCTACAGGATTAGCTATCTTTTAAAAAGCTATCCTGAAAAAAAATAAAAATACTAAATTAAATTATTAAAATAAAATTAATTTCAGTTAGTCATTTGTCCTCTGGGAAGTCTCTTTAATGACTAATTTTTAGATATATTATGCTCTTCTGTGGCCAAACTAAATGTTCAGTAGGGTTAACTGAACATGGAAAGACTTTTCAGACAGCAAGAAACAGACTCGCTCAAAAAAAAAAATCCTACATCATTTCTCAAATTATTTTAAAATAATAAAGTTGCAGCTGCTGTGTGAAACAAACTAGAGTAACATTTATTGTAATAATAACTATTCTGCTTAGTTATGCATAAACATTTATATGCTGAAGACAAAAATGAAACAAAGCTACATCCTCACTGACTCATTCATGAGGCACATTGTTGGTAAAATAGTATAATAATTTTAAACAGAAATTGCACACACTTATATAAACCAATGCTAGATGATATAGCTCTCCTAATCCAAACTCTTACTTCTGAAAAACAACATATATAGCTAAGTCCAAATTTATGCTGTTTCCATGGCAAGAGGATTGGCCCCTCTGCTTTTCTTGGATTGCTGAATGGCACTGAAGAACTGTAAAACAAATAAAATAACCAAACTGCCTATTGTACACCGTGGCCAAGGGCGTCTGGGTGATGTAAGTCCAAGCAAATCCTCTTCTTCAAATGCCTGCAAGCGATGCTTTTTATTTCAGCCTCATGTCAATACTACATATTAAAAAAAAAAAAAAAAAGAAAAAAAAAAGAAATCAGTGCTATGAAACACACTGCTACCGATTTTCTCAAACTTCAGTGTGTGCAAAGTATCAAGCATGCTCATCTCTCATTTACTTCAGCAAATTATTTAGGTATTTTTTACTTGTGTATTAATACATAAGTAAACTATTATTTACCTGAGTAAATAATTCACACGTATCTTATCTATCGAACTGATATGGAAAATTCAGACCTTAACAGGACCTGTTATTGTTTTATTGAAATCAGTAGCTACATTCCCAGCAACTCCAACATGAGCAGAATTAGAGACCAGATGTGGAAATGAGTAAGATATGGATGCCTCTAAAACATTTCTAGGAGTATGGTTTTGCCATTTAGTGCAAAGAATATTTCATCCAATTCTTCAGAAGTATTCTTTAGAGTAGGAAACTGTCATCATAAACACTGCATCGAAATAGAATTTTTCCTTCATAGAATACATACCTACATGAATATTTATGACCTGTGAAGGTCACTGTCAGTTACAGAACATGCAGAATTCTTTATTGTGGATTATTTCATTAAGAAAAATTTTCAAACGTCATCAGGTTTCTGATGACATCATCACGTCATCAGAACGTCATCATCAAGAAATTCTAGTAAACAAGAGAGCATGACAATAATAAAAAGCCTTTGGAATGGATATAAAAGAGAAAACAGAAGCGAACTAAGAGCTGGGCAGACTCCAGGGAGGTTTCAGCAGAAAGCGTACAGAACAAGTCTATGTAAAAATGCTGTCCTCATTGTAGCGGCACGTACAGGGGAAATCCTATTTCCTGAGGAAAAGACACCAGAAATGAATGATATGATCACAGGAAAATTGTTGCTGCTTCTAAAGACAAGACACACCATTTTGCAGAAAAAAACAGCAGGAAATAACATTAATTCAGCCTCAGTTCTTACTTATTTCAGCTAAATAAAAATCCTCTTTTTGTATTGTTTTTTGCTGCCCAGCTTCCTTTTTGTGAAAAACAGAAAAATTGTTCATGCCATAAAAGGCCAAAATCGTAAATAAATAGTCTTTAATATGTTATTTAATTACTGCTACCATATTTTAAAAAATAGTTCTCACATTGACTAATTACATAATAAACTGTGTCTGGGGGGCGGGAGGGGGAAGGGATGCTCAGTGGTTTTATGCCAACTGGTCTAATAGTAGGAATCAGGAATTAATTTCAAGTTCTGACATATGTATGATTTTTAACACTGGGACAGCAGTGAACTACTAATGCCTGTGTGTGCGTCACACGCATGCTGCAAACACCCTTCCTGAGGCACAGTAAGAGTGGTGCAAGGCTTCCCATTTGCACGCCTGGGTTATGGCATTAGCAGGAGGAATGGTGTGCCACAGTACTGCCACATTCCCATTTCCAAGGGAACCTGTCTAGCTTTCAAAGGGAGTGACAAAAAGACGCCAGAGATTTAGCTGGGGAAGTAAGTATGAAAGAAGCTGAGAGGAGTGAAAAGCAAAGAGAAGGAAAGCACTGAGTGCACAACCCAGCACTCAAAGTGAAGATTTCTGCATTGACAGTTTGCTTAAGCTCCTCTCAGAATTAGAACAACAACTTTAACCACTTTAATGGATCATAAGGCACATTATCAACCTTGCCTGATCCTGTTGCACTTTTTCCTCTCCATCTTTCAAACAGCTTAACCTGAATATCCTTCAGGCTAAAAATTTTATCTATCTCTGTTTGACAAGGGTCTTTAACTTTACACACTTGTGCAATGCAAATATAATAAACCTTAACTTCAGCACTTTTTCAGCACTTGCAAATACTGAATCGAGTTGCAAAAAAAAAAAAAAAAAAAAAGGGTTTTGGTCTCCAGAAGGCTTCGTGGAGTCTACCCAGCCTCAGTTCATAACTGCATGGTTATGAAATAGTGCTAAAATGTAATCATATTGTCAGGCATGAATCCTTACTCCTGGTCCATTGAAGTCATTTCTGGATCATTTGAGAGGCAGCCAGTTCTGGGTGCAAGGAAAAAAGAGGCAGTAGTAAACATAGACATGAAATCAAATTTGGGGGGTGTAAGAACAAAGTGCAGTGAGTATCTCTGAAGGCACAAACACACAAACACTATTGATAGGACTATAACAAGCTTAGTGCCTGCAACAGGGATTAATTTGAGTAATACTTGTTTATAATTATTTCCATAAATTGAGGATGGGGAATGCACGACAGTGACATCAGACATTTAACAGTTACAATAATCAGCAATGCCACATATGAATATTGAGTTCCTCTCTCACTGCTGTGCTGTAGCCTGCATCTTTTTAAATAACAGGGGTATCAAGGAAGCAGCTTCGTTTCACACAGTTTTCACTGGCATATACTCTAATGTATTTGAAAATATTTGAATAGAAGGGATACAAGTTACATTTAATGGGTTTCTTTCTTCCTTTTGGTTAATAAAATATCCAGGTGGTATCAGATAATTGCTTATGTGAATTTTTGCTTCTTAGGCAGTTAAGTGCTAGGATCAAGAAGCAGTGGCAAGAGTTTGGGGTATTTCTCTCTGGTGATTTTAAAGGCCAAGCTCAGAACTGGAGGCAAATGTGTAGCAGCAAAGTGGGGACATGAAGGGAAAAAGAGAGACAGAGAGTGAGACAGAGAGACAGAGCTGTAAGGTAGAAATTCTGAAATACAGAAGTTAATGGTAGGAGTCTAGGAAGAAACTTCAAAACCTGAATCTTAGGTTATAAAAACCCCTGGGAAAGTGTCATACAAGAAGCCACAAACACAGCTCCCTGCTCTGGAATCCTGTGCACAATGCACACACAAAGAAGGGCCCTGGGTAAATTCCTTCTAAGCTCAGCTTGGCAAGTAAAGGATTGCAAGTTAAGGATCTCTATGGTACCACATTCTGCCCTAGTATGGTCAAAGTCAGAGTAAAGACTTAACAAGTTTAAAGTTTCTGTTCATCAGTTAGGACATCGAGTTATTAACTGACCTTAGACAATGCAGTATTATCAAGTATTAATCCATCGACCCATCCAACTAACTGGTGAAAAGACAGGACCGCCTTAACTGAGCGTGAGATAAAATAGTCATGCTTAGCTTAGTAAATTGTTGTAAAACATCAGTTTTAAAAAGAACTGCCTCCTAAAAAATAGATTAATCATCTGACATAACAGACAAAGAAGAGAAAATGTTTAATGAACTACTGTAACCGAGTAAAAAAGTGATTTCAGTCCTCTCTGCGACTGCAGAAACATTCACTAAAAACAGCAAAAATGTTTTTTAAAACTCTAAGAATATGATTATTTGTTACTGAGACCGAACTGTAAAAAAGCAGGCTGCACATAGTGAGAGGGGAAGTCAATTCACCAATGTGGCAACTTATACAGTATTGGAAACTATGAGCTGAGGGCTGTATCAAACATGTAGTATACTGTTGCATTCAGTCCATTCCTGTGAATACAACGCCAGCATCTAGCTGAAAACTGTCTTACTTAGCTGTTTCTGAAGCTTCCCTCAGCTCTTCATCCAGTCTGCACCAGTAAAAAGTTATTGATATAAAGAAACAAAGAAGCAAGCAGAGCATAAGAGAGAAGCAGAGCATTAGCAGAGCAAAGAACAAATACTGTACATGCTTCTAAAATAGGCACCCACTATTATGCACTGACCCTAAAGCTCTTCAGTTCAATATGATAGCATTTACTGTTGCTTAACCCCCCTTTAATTTGTAACTATTTAGCTTATTTGGAGGCAGAAACATAAAAGCAGCAGGGATCTGAGGCATGCTCAGTGGACAGAACTGAAAGCATTCAGTTGTTCCATCAGATAGAACTAAATTAGCTGCAGCCTGGGCCAAGTCAAGGGCGTTTATAGTTTAGTTAGTTTTACTCGCAAAGAGGCTGATCTCAACAGCTGGAAGGGGAAAGTAAGATCGCAAACTCTTGCAAGGCCTCTCTCATTCAGCTGTTGAGGTCACCTTCAGGTGGAAGACTGCATCACACAGTCTTACTCCATTATGAGCAGTAGCACAGGCCAGAAGCAAGTTTTACCTCATTCTTCTCTTAAAACACTTCTCTTCATCATATCTTACAAGGTAAGAGTGGGTGAAGGGGGGGGGAGGGGAAAAAAAGATGTACAAGTTCGTATGATACAATACAATAGCCATACTGTACCTCACTTCAGTAAAAACTACCGAACAACCACAAAAAGAAAAAAAAAAAAAGGCATGAACTTGTGTACTTTCTATAGGTAGAATATCTTGTGGCCATAGTGATATTTCTTTTCTCGCCAGCGGAGCAAATAGAATGCTGAAAGCTGCGTTTTATTTTGCTACAGGAATCTTTCTCAATTTGAACCACAAATAAAACTACCAGCTGGAACACATCTCTACTCTGATCTCTACTCTCTTCCCTTTTGACATTGGAATATCCACTCACAGTACCTTGAATGTGGACATCTACTAAATCTTCATACAGGACATCGTGAAAATGCTTGCCACCAATAGGCACATTAGTCACCTTTACATTTTTTCTTCAGTGCAATCAAGATCTGTCATCTGGCGGCCGATGACAAGAAGTAAGCCGTTCCCTAAAATTTCTTAAGCTCTAAGTCCTAAAGTTTCTTTGGTGCTGGTGCTGGGAACCTTTCTCCTTTGGTCTGAGAGGTGAATGGACTTTCCAAGGAGTTTTGGTGTAAAGGACAGAAAAGACATCATAGTGTAACAATAAAATAAAGCAAGGAAGTAGAAAGAGTATAAAGCATTAAAGTATCAGGTTAAGGTCTTTATCAAAGGCAACTTTAAGAAACTAGAATGTTTCAGGAATCAGAAGAGGAAGGGAGGAAGAAAGGGCAGAAGAATTTTAGGGATGTTAAAACATTCTGGACATCTTTTTATCAGGTGATACCTCATACCATCTCTTACTCTAAATTCTTTGCAATCACTCTACCTATAAAGGAATTACAGAAGAAAATAAACTATAGTGAAACTCCCTATGAACCCCCATTTCATGATGGCAATTTACTAATTTCACAAGTGCTGCAGCAGAATTGAGCTTCCCACTTGCTCCCTGGAATTACAGCACAAGACTTAATGGCAAAGCAACCACCAGTTTGATGAGGTAAATTGTGCTGCTTTCGTAACTACGGTGGGGCAGCTATGAAAACTCCTGCCTGGTTGAAGAGCTCTGTGACAGCTCCAAATGAAGCGTTCTGCATACCTAGTCACTGATAAAATGCAAGGAAAAGACAATCAGGTATTTGTCTATTTACTCATCAAAACAGTTTCTAGGACTGAACCTTTGCGTTTATTCAAAACCTGGTACACTTGAGACACAGAAGTAAAAAAATAATGCATTCCTTGACAGCATATCTTTGGAATAATGACCTATAATGACCTATAATGACCCGCTGTGATTGATTTCCAAGGTATTTAAGCTTGATGAATCATTTCAGTTTGCTGTTTTCAGGTCTAAAAAAAAGTCAGTGGTGAGGAACTCAAATCAACTTCTTGTTACAATTTCGTTAACAGATACCTTTCCTTTAGAAATATTTGCATTTACAAAACCTTTAAACACAAAAGGCAAGAACTGAGACATTGCCTTTCAGTCCTGGTAATGGGTTAAATCATGAGAAATCAATGAGAAAAGGAATGGTGAACCTATGGACTTTCAGTGGATTTCTACTGAACTGCTATCTTTTGAATTATTGTTTCAGTTCAAAGCTCTGTATGACTAAAACCTAAAAGCACAGTAAGACTTAGCACAGTAAGTGGCAAAAGTTATGGAAAAATATTGTATAAGGAATACCTGTGGAAGGGTTATGGTTTCATGTTTTCCTTCTGGGCTACAATTAGTGAGAGAACAGTCCGTTCCAATGCTATTGTATAGTCATAAGTGTGATGAAGGGAGTTTGAGCCTGAAAGTTTGCCTTCATTTTACCAACTGTATCATTTGGTCCAGTACAAAACCTTCCTTTTCCTATAAACTTTGGTTCCCTTAGGATTACGTATTTCTTCTGGTTTCTTTTTCAATGACAGAATGTTTTCCTGCTTCAGAGTTTAATAGTGGAATTTTTGTGGAACAAAACTTACGTATTTGTAATAAAATTACGTAGAAGTTTTAAAATTTTCTTATAGACTCAAACGCTACTGTGCCTAAATAGGACTTGGAAAGGAAAACCTGGTTATACTTCTGGCTAGCAGACAGCCTGATTCGTCAGTGGAAATACTTTCCAATAACACAAGTGCACCACTTACTTGACAATGCTCTCTGGTATGTGCACATATTCCATTGGAATCATCTCACGGAGCTCTGCCAATGTGCTGACATACTGTATCTTACTGCTGAACTTAGAGCTGAAACACAGAAATGGCGTCATGCAAACTGAGTTTCACAAAATCTCCCATTATTGCAAAAAATAAACCAAGAGAAGGCATCTATTTGTAATCTAAGCATTTGGCTATTCATATTCCAGTCATATAGTTCTGATAATCATTAACATATCTGTGTTCTAGTGAGGCTGAAATCAGGTTTAGACCTTCTGCTGTTCTGTGGCCAGGCTGCATTGCCATATTTAGGACAGTATTATACATTGTAATGCCTACATATTAGGCAACGCAATTAAGTTTTACAGTTTGAAGAAGATATACTCAAATTTTAAAAAGAACCAAATCCCCTGCAGCATACTTACACCAAAAGAAAGATGGGAAACATTCACTTCAGCTGATCATGATGAATTAGCATTTAGATTTGGCTATGGCACCCAACCAAACAGAATACAGCTGAACCTCCACGTTTGTTTGGATGTATATAGATCTGAGCAGGTACGTGCATGTCTGTTCTTAGTGTAAGGCCGTATTATGAGGAAATGTTTTCCTTGCTTAGTTCAGTCTGTACTGTGATCATTTATTCTATCTGAGAAATGATCATACAGAAAAACCTAAACCATTCAGTCAGAAAATATATTTTAAAAAATAAAGACTATTCACTTGTTTAGCTGATTTATGTGACATGCAGAGACTATGAGGAATCATCTTTCTCATTTGACTGAAAGCAGTTTTCCAAATCCAGCTTTGGTCATATTTAGACAGTCTATTAACATTAGTAATGGTGACGGATGCACATTGAGAATGAATGTTCTTAAGTCTAGGCCATGAAATGCAGAACATATCCCTGTTTATCACTGATTCAGGGGTATGATCAGACAACCCAAAGCATCTGAAATAGCTCTTATCAAAAAGTTACTGCCCCTTGCCTTACCATATATATCTTCTTAATCAGGTAAAGTGAGACAACTGAAACAGGAATCCATCAAGTTACTGTAAACAGTTGTTTGAGCTCATTCATTTTACTTTGCATTTTTAACAGATTAGCTTCCTTAGGAGCACACAGTTGCCACATGCTAATATCAGGTTTTAAGATGCATGAATCACTCATAATTGTCTGATCAAAGCCATGATAACATATAGATAATTCTTAACATTTTATTAGAAATGTTAACCATAGTTTAGACTATCTGAATTGCCAGCTGAAGCAACTTAGCAGGCAACAGCCTGATCTGGAAACATCCAAAGAATGAAAAAAATTTAAAAAAAAAAGGTGTTTTTTCTGCTTGGGGTTTCTCCTGGGTCCACTAATTCCACCACCACAATTGATTTCTACCTAATTGCTTCATGTGGAAGTCTGTGTACTACCATCCCACATATATGTCTAAAATGAGAAGTCCTTGTTTCTTTCTGACTTTAGGCAAGGCCTGCTGCCACCTGTGTTGAACTTTCTACTTGCTTAAGTATTTCCATCAAATGCCAAAAATTTCTCACAGACACTTTTTATTAAAAATCATTTTTATTAAAAATCTTAATTTCCTGCCTAACACAGCTAAAATTATCTGTAGTATGAATATCTGACATCTAGGGCCTGAATCCAGCTTTTTCTTCTAACTTTGCAACCAATCAATAATTGTTTGTTTTTTTTTTTTTTGCCTCCGTGGGCTTTCTATTCAGTTTTCTCACAGGGCTCTTCTGTTATCATTGAGGGTTCAAATACCTCCCACCCTCGACTCTTCTTCAGCGTAAGTCACGCAGGCCATGAGGAATGCCCATCTTTTTCTCAGGTCCCATTTGTACTTTGCTTTCTTTTACTTCCGAAAGAGACTCAATCTACTTCTTGGCTGAAATGGAATCTTTAACTGGTCCTGTTGTCTCAAGTTTTGTACTGTTAATTCTCTTTGCCAAAAAGTCGGTTTACAGTCAACTTCTTCCCCAGTGCGGCAATGCAATGCTTGTGGTCACTGCCACCCAGTATGACCATCCAGAATAAATGACGCATGAATCGATACAGTTGTCACATCTTTGATTTTTTTTTTTAAATTTTACTGCCCACCTTTTCTCTGGGGAGAAACAGGGTGCCAGCAGAATTATCTCAGACACCAAATGCAACTGAGTGAATCTCCCATGGCTGTTATTGATAATGTTAACTACTGCATCTCTGTTGCACTGTTTTTCGTAGTTGTTACTTTCTGCTTGGTATTAAAAGTTATCCTATGAGAAAGAATAAGCTTTGTTATGATATTCTGCCTATCACACTTTGGCAGCAATGGCAGAACTTATTTGTTTCCCCATGCCCAGATTCCCCTGACAGGGGAGGGCACCCTATGACTGACACCTTTGGTGCTCTTGTTTGTAGTCTGGGGGCAGATTTCTCCGTAGTCTGTTATGATGCACGTTATTCTCTGTGTAGCTTGTGTAAATGAGATGTGTCTTCTCTTCCTTGAAGCAACTCTTTTTCACACCTGTCAGTCTACTCTCTCTGACTGTAGGATTTAAATTGCATACTTGTCCATGTTTTTCAACAATCTGCGAGTTCTTCGGTGTCTGAAACATTTCTTTGTTTTTCTGCTGATCAAGAAATTATTTCTGGTGGCAGAAAAATTTTTCTGGAACCTGGTCTCCTAAGCCTTCCAACAGCTCAGGGTGCTCAAAGTCGCCTTGGCTGAGCAGCATTTTTATTTTTTAACTAGAATTGCAGCTTAATCTTGTTGTGCGGCCACTATTTTGTTAATGAGGCGATTTGTCCAGACCCCCTTCCCAAATGCTTTTTAGCTGGGCTCAGAATAAACAAAGACAATTTTAAAGGAATAAATTCCCAGTTCTACATGCACATATGGGCATATGATATCATGCCTGCAGTGTATGCACTGTTGACTTCCTTTATTCATGATTCAACTCTTTTTTTCCTGTCAGGAGAGTGGGAAGTCAGCTTCAGCTGTCAAAATCCCAACACAAACTGTAAAATGAGTACCTTTCAGTGGGACATTAACAGCCATGTTTGATCATTTAGGAATTTCAGTATCTTTAGGGACAAAGAAAATAACTAATATTCACTACATACCTTATAAAAGGTCGTGTCACAGCCAGAATTGTCCTGATAAACCATGACGGATGGACAATTATAAATGATTTCAAGTTCTTCCTTAATCTAAGTCAAAAAGAAACACATTTCATTAAAAAAAAAAATACAGAAAGATCATATACAGTGAACACTGTCATACAGGGGAGGAACAGAAATGCACAGAGTTTAAAATAATGGCTGTAGGTCAGAAAGGAAAATACTGCTCACCGCCGATCAATCATTTGGTAACATTTTTTCATCCAACCAAGTCCTGGCATCCTCCTCCTTGGCGTTGCTCCATTTAAGTAGACAATCATATAGTCTTCGGCTACCATCAGTTCTAAGGTACTTATTACGTATCTGAAAAAAGAACAGAAGCAAGTAAGCACATCTTTTTACATTATCCATTTAAGCTTAATTAAAACCAGTCCACTAGGCATACATCAAGGAATTTTCAACGAGGCAGCGTTTTCTTTTTGTTTAAACTGAAAGCATTTTAAACTGTCCCCATGCTTCCTATAGAATTATAACTAGCAAACCATAATCTGATCTGCATTTTCAGAGAATGTGGTTTCCTTCCAAAGATACAGTTTCATAATAAGTCTTCCAATCTCACAGGTGGCTTTTTCCCCTTATAAGCATATTAAATCAAGAAATTCTACAAGGGAGATCATGAGAGGACCATGTGAAGTTCCCAGAACTTCTGAGATGCAACTGTTGAGAAAATTCTCCTTCGTATTAATCATTATGTTTTGTTCAAAGCAAAAATAATATGGGTCAGAAGAAGAAACTTGTCTATAGTTTTTGTGATCCTCAGATCACTGTTACCGAGTCTGTGACTGCCAGCTACAAACCCCTGTCGCCTGGAAGAGCTGGGTGTTCTGTCAAATGAAAGGGTAGCTTTAAACTCCTCTCTGGGACTATAGAAGCAGATGCTCTCTCTGGTTTCAGCAGTCCCCACCTCCCTGGGGAGGAATTTATCATAACAACACGCAAATTGCTCCCTCTCCTATCCAGCTCCAAGGCACGTCTGTGTAAAAACTGCAGTGAAACATCACTGAGTCTCACCTCAGAAAACTGAATGCTTCAGAGTTCTCATTACAAAAGGCAGCTCTATCCCTGCACCCATTAGCCCCTTAAACAGGTGCATGTGAACAACTCAGGATGTAATCTGACCCTTAAATTCCTCAAAATGCAGTTTCTATAAAACAAGAGCAGGAAATCCAATTCTCAACACAGGGAACGTTATTAGAAACAGACAGAAGGTAGGTAGCAGCTAATTGAGTAGTTCCATTTGATGAACCTCACGTAAATCACTACTCACTCAATGCTTTTCACTGCTCTTTCTCTCACCTTCCACTTGCACGTTGCCTACTTTTGTCTCACATTTATAACAGCTCCTGTCCATCAGCGAGATAGGAAAGTGTGGGCTTGTGCGCCAAGGTGGTGGCTGCTCCATGGGAAATGAAGCCCTGTCAGCCAGCGGCAATGGACAGCAGTTACTGCATTTGCAGTCTGGAATCACTGTGTAATCTAGATCTCTCTGCAAGTGCAGAGGGATGTCAAGCTCTCTTGCAAACCTTTCATGCTGGCAATTTCTTTATTACTTGAGATGTTGACTCACTGACTAGAACAATTCACTCACTCTGAAAGGAAAAGCACTGGTTTTGAATTTCAAAGTGTAGTATTTCCGCGTTTTGATTCTTTAAGAGACTTTTAATCTCTAGAATGTTTCAGGCAGCTACAAATGAAACAGTAGAATTTTCTGTGTGGACCTGCAGCATCCAAAAGAAGTGATTTAGAAAATGTTGTCTCAGAAGCTGAGTTTGGCTCACTTAAAGACAATTTTACAGGATTAGTCAAGGTAACAGGAATAAGGTAGCTAGAATTGTGAAAGGAATCCAGAGGGGAATGAAACTGCAGAACACATGAACAATTGAGGACAGTTGTTAATTACAAAGTAGAGAGGGCTTGTACACTGCAGTCGCACCATTAGCTATGAGAAACGTGTATATATATATATCAGTTATTAGCTATGTTGGAAATTGTGATGCTCCCTCTGTTTCAAAGCAATTAATAGGCTTACATGTAAAAGAAAGGGACAATCTGACTTTTTATTTTCTGGTTCTTGTTCTGCTAGAGAATTGTGAATCTCTAAGTAAGTCTTAAAATAAGCTGAAGGTGCACAGTCAAAGTGAACTCACTTTTACACTACCCCGAAAGAGACAGTGGGATGTAAAATGTACTTTGGCAATATCCTCAAGTGAAGCGGAACAGCCTCTTAAGGCTTGAAAAGGCTTCCTCTGCAAAGTCCAGTTACCTGCAGTTCTATCTTTGAAAAGGGGTCTTCAGTGAAGTCAAAGAATAACTGTTTTAATGTCAGTCACGGTTTTTGGCAGATTTGTTTTCTAGTTAATCAGGTTAAAACTACTGTAGCAATTCTTCCCTTCTAAATCACTGGGCATTGTGTAAATCTAGTACTGTAGATGACATGGGGGACTTAGAGACCTCTTTACTAGACAGAAGCTAGCAGTTGGTCTGACCTGGAACAGAACCGCTCACTCTTGTTTTTCACTTGTAGACACAACATTGAGGGCTTTGGCTACCTCCACGCACGTCTTCATGGGCTGGAACTTTGTGGGGCCTGGGTCTGTGCTCTTGCAGTGCGGTCTGGCGCCTTGTAAGCAGCAAATGGTGAAGGCCAGGGCTACAGTAGCTTTGAGACTGACTTTTTCAGTTTTAGCATACACGGCCTTGGAATGATTGATTTTTCAACAGCTGTAAGTGGAACTAACTACAGGCACTTTAGGGGAGTTGCTGCCTTCTCAATTTCTGGCGGCCAAGGTAAGGTGCTGTTAGGAGTAATTCTGCTTGTTAAAAGCTGTGATAAATTTGGGTTCGCTTCGTCAAATTTGTGTCTGGTCTAACAGGGTCCCTGCCATTTTCAATAACTGACTCAGGAGTAGCTGAAGTCAGGAAAAGTACTTTGAGGTGTTTGTATCAGCAATTGTCATTTATCCTGTATTTTTAAAACAAGTGTCAGCCAATGTCCCTGTAACTCCTATAAACAACTACAGCATGTATTCAAAATATAATACACAGCGACACATTGCTGTAATACCTAATATACAATGACAGTGAAAAACAATCTTGTGATCTAAGTCCATGCCGACTGTTCTCAACAAGCGCTGGAAATCACTGGTGAAAGAGTGCAATCTTTGTAGGTCCAAGAAGCTGGAGATACGATATCCCTTGTCACTTAGGGAACTATTATAGTCAAATTTGATCCTGACAAATGTACCTTGATTTTGGGGGGCAAGTAGGTAAAGAATATCTAAATAATACTCCACTGAGCAGTTTACCTAAAATTGCTCTTTGAAATGTCACTCAGATCACTCTCCTTCTAATGACCCAAATTACCTCTTAATTAAACACAGGTTATCTCTTACTACATAATTAAGAGTACTAACTCAAAAGATGGTCACGTGATTACACATCACTCACAGGAAGAGATTTTCCATGACATAGTTGTAATCAGTTCGACTGCTGTCTGGCAAGAAGCATGCAGCAAACACAATGATAGCATTCAGACCATCACCATAGTATCCTGTGGAACAAACAAAAAAGCATTTTTATCTTTGTCAAAGGCTCTTAACAAGATAAATTTAAAAAGAAATCTCAGAGTCCTGGAACAGAGCAATTATGTCTAATCCTGAAGAAGATAGAAAATGAATGAACTATCATCAAGTGGTAAGGAAATAGGACAATCTGTTAGGCTGAATTCCTGGAGAATATGCTTAGAACTACCATGAATAAACTTTATTATATAGAGGCCAGTAAGAAAACTCATTCTGCTTTGTTAATAACACAGTCTTACATGAAGTCCTGCTTCATTGTATCTTTATTGTAATCGTGTGCTGAATGTTCCCCCTAGCATACAGAATAAATGGCTGAAGAAAATATCCTACGCTTGCTCTCCAGCATCTTTTGAAAGAGGATTTCCAAAGTCTCACCATCCCATTTGAGTTTGTCTGTGCTGCTCCAAAGACCTCATGATATTACAACGATGACTGCACCCCACTATGCTTTAGAAGCTCCTGAGGATCAGTTAAATCCTTTGCTGCAAGCTTTGTGGAAAATGCCTGTTAGCCTGGACACTCCAGTTGCCCCGTGCTGGCCTTCTCTGGGCTCGAGCAGGGCCCAAAAAAAGCCATAAAGCCCCAGAGCTGCTGGGGACCAGCACAGTTGCTTGGTACACATAACAGAATGTGAAAATAAGCAAAATTCATGATGTATTAATGCTGATCAGCCTTCTCCATAATCTTTTGCAATCCTTATGGGCTTCTGTGGTAGTAATGATAAATATAACATAATCCTGCAATACAATTGAAGGCCCAAGATTCATTCAAAAGATATGTGTAATCATGAGGCAACTTATACAGATACTGTAGAAATGGTTGTATTGAAAGAGCACTAGTGTTGCACAGTGATAAGAGGCTGGATACACTTAGAGGAAGACCTGAAAGCCAGAAGGCTAGGCGAAACTCACCTTGAGGGAATTTCTCCTTTCTCACTCAGCACCTAAGCTGAGTCTTAGCTAGCTGAAATAGTAGTAGATGTTTATGTTAAGGAAGTCTCTCCTTATATTTTAATCTACCTCTACCTTTATGGCTTTGCAGCGATTTTTTTTAAAGACTCCAGAATTGCTGGAAAAGTGAGTGCTTCAAGATACCTGTCCATGAAGTATTTCATGCTAAGGAGAGGCACCACTGAGTAATCTCAACACACACAGTCCCAGTCAAAAGGGGAAAGAACAGAGGCAGTCTTCATTCAGGGCTCTCAGCTATTCCTACAAGGACATAAAACATCGTTGCTTCCCCTTTTATAAAGAGCTGCCATAAAAAAAAATAAGCATCAGAGAGAAAAATCTGCATGTCAGAAGTAAGCCTCCTGCCTTGATCTACATTGCTTCCAAACAAGTTTTGGCAAAGCAGCCTGCTGAAAGGTGATACTAGGCTTTTCTCTTTCTGAATTTGATTTGGCAGATTTGACTAAATATAATGCACTGTATAAGCTGAAGGTGTATATTTATTTTGCCAGCATCAAGTTAAGAACGCTAACCTAGCCCTCATCCACCGCAGAATAATTTGGACGCTGCAGGAGGCTATATATCCCTAGCCTTAACTCCATCCCTCCCATAATGCTGGCATCTCCTGTCTTTCCAGTGCTATGCAGTAGCTCTCAGTTGCCAGGGGCCAGCTAATCTACAGACGGGCTTCCAGAAGTAAGAGGGAAGCAGCTGTACAACAGCTGCCCAGCCCTGTCTTCTGCAATCCCACGTTGCAGCCTTGCTGCCCATCCTGTTGGAGGACAGGGACAGGCAGAAGAGCACAGGACTAGGGCGTAAATTCAAGCCAAACAGCAATGTGAATAAAACCAGATTAAGCCATATAACATAGTACGGTGTGGGAGAGCTTCAATACATGCTAGAAACAGCTAACAAGGAGAGCCTAGGTAGAGATATAGGTATGGCTGACTGACTTTGGTGTCCCAGAGGAGATCTCATAGTTACATTCCAAGAGTGGCACTGTGTTCTCCAGCAGGAATGTACTCAGGGACGGGGAGAAGAAACTCCAGTCCCATTTTCAGCACCTTCACCCTCTAAGAGCGTGACATGAAGGAATACATGTCTTCTCAAAAGAAACAAGCAGAAAACAACTCCGCCTCCCACATCCACCACTTTATTTTACTCTCTGATACCATCTGTCTTATCAGTTAAACCTGCACATTTCCAGAGAGACAGTGGTCAGTTCCCCCAGGCCATCCTAGCTAACTGCTGAGCTGAATCATTAGGGAGTAAGGCAGTATTTTTTTCCTTTCCTTTTCAAGTAGGGAGGGGACTTCCTTCCTTATATGAATTCAGAAATCCTTCAGAGACTTTCAGGACAACTAACACCATGCTGCTGTCATAAGGCAGTCCTTCCAGCTGGCTCAGGAGTTGGGCACCGGGAGCACATGGTGGCAGGTGTGTCCACGAATCTACACAGTTCTTTTGCAGGTGTAAAGCAAAATGATTATGTGCAGCTACCACCTCTCTAACAGCCCACACAAGAAAAATCCACAGATCAGTTTAAACCACCTTTTCATACACTTGCTTATAGTCAAGGAATGTTCACCCAAGGAAGAGGTGCGTTTTTAAATCATCACCAGAAGCCAGTGACAGCCATTTGCCAAATTCTCAGTCAGCCTACACAAAGAGACAGATCACTGAGAAATTTGTCCATCGGCAAACGTGGAAGGAAATATCACACCTGGACTGTCAAGCTATATCTACTCTCTCCTCTTCTATTTTGCAGCCCAGATTCTGAATTAAACATTAACTATTATTTGACAGGAGAGAATGTTCAGTAGATCATTGAATCATCAAGAGATGGCAGATCTGACTTCTGAGTAACTTATTTTATGCAGAATCTATGCTTAATCTTGAGGTGATTCTTAAGAAAGACTTTTGGCCCTCTAAAATGCTCCAAAAATATTGAACTATAGCCAAAGGGAACACCATATAGATTAGGCGTAGCAGGCATTCTGCAACAATTGTTCAAGCTCTCCAAAGTTTTCCCACGGCCTATACATCAAAATTATTAAATATCCACAACCCCAATCAAGAGCTCTGCCACTTCATAAACACAGAATTTAATC